ATCTCATCTCATCTCATCTACCTCACTCCCACTACTTTGAATTTTGCATATAGGACAAAGATGAAGTAAGTGAAATGAAATGTTAGTAAGGTTTAAATGTCATTTCTTATTTCCAGGCTCATATTGTAAAAATAAAAAAAATCAAAGACCCCTTTTAACGGTCTGTTGATAATGAGACCTAAACCAATTCTATTCTTTTAAATAAATGCAGACAGGATATTATAGCTATGCTTCTAACAACTTGAGAACGCTCTTACCCATTCCTGATTATATCATAGGCCAGAGTGTTAAAATCATGAGGATTAGGTGATGCCACACATGTGTCCACAAACACGATCAGATTTGGGTCAGAGCTGTGAAGATAAGCTTGAAGGTACAAATTTTGGTTCAAGTCAATGTAGTATGGAGAGTCGTGCACTTGCCGCAAGAATGATGAGGAGTCATAAAAAGTGATGTTCATGTCATATCTTCCAAACTGGTTTTCGTTCACATCTACAGTATCCTCAGCAACATACATTATTTGCATCCATGTGTTCTGTAGCATTTTGCAACTGATATGTAAGTGAATATTCTTTTTCCTCTTGATTATGTACCCAGAAGATGTAACTTTGATCATGTTGGAATAGTTGATTGTATCATTGGTCTCCTGTTTAACATGTAATTTAAAATGAAGAATTGCATTTTTGTCACTTTCCATGTTCTGAGCTTTTCTAGAGTAATATGCAATTTAAAAATATAGATTCATTTTAGCCTCTTTAAACCAATAATCTTGATGTTGGTCTTTTCTGCTCACACTTTCTAAATAAACTTGCTGAAGCATGTAATTAAACAACAATCAGTGGAGAAAACCTCTTTGTCAAATCCAAGGCAGACCCAACTCATTGAACATCTGTACAAAACACCGGTCGTGTAGTACCCAGTCATCCCAAACCTGTGTGACACTTACAAGACTACATCTATTTTAAATCATGGAAAGTTCACGTAACTTCCTCCCATGTTTTCCCCCCTAGAAGCCCATTTCTATTAAGCGTGGGGATTTCCTAAGGCATGGAAAGCTACAGCACTAAAAACCTCTGGGTCTCGTTCGTTCACTACTTAGCACTGTGGACCACGGTAGCCTTTTCATGACTCTTTTCAATGCGGGTGCTGCAATTCAGCGCACACTATGGTTACCGTACCTCTCGTATCGTCCCACAGTCATTGTAGGGAATGTTGAATATAACCTCGTGTGATGTGACTGTTGGTTTACAGCGATTGTCATTTAGGGTGACCATCTGCGCGGAGTAGCCTTGAGATTGGAGATAGTCTCTGCTAACCACTGCATGCATGTAGTCTGGCAAGCACAGCAGGGCTGGTAGAAGAAGAAGATACAATTAGTGACTTCAGGAATTTGTTGATGATTAAAGGTTGTAATTGAACCAAATGTTATTTTTTTCTTAATTTAGAAGGTAGGCAACTCACACACCAACCCATCATATTTTACACACATCATTTAATTTCCCTAACATCTTTAAATATATACAAATATTTATTTTGCAAACAAAAGAAATAAACAGGCTTGTCCCTTGAGAAACACTGACTGGGAACTTACTTGTGTTGTGATCTGCTGGAATGGAGGAGTAGTGAGCCTGAAATCCTCTGAAGGTGTATCTAGAATCGCTGTGAAAGCGAACAGTCATCATGTTTGAAGAGGATATGTATGTGGGAAAGGAACCAGAACAAAGTCTCCCAAGAAGCGGGGAAGAGTGTGGAGGCCCATCATAGACTTCAACGTAGTCATACTGGCATCTGCCGCTTTGCATCCTGGTGGACAAACATCAGCACCTTGTCAAATGCACTTCAGGAACTCTGATTTAACTGCCTAACATGTCATAAAATCTTTCATCACTTAAAGTTTTCACGGCAGAATTTTTACTCATTTTCTATGTAGCTGTAGCAGAAAACTGTGAGCAGAAAATACTGCAGTAATCCAGATTTTGTTCTGGTCTTCCAACCCCTGGATGTTATTGAAAGTATCTTTAAAATTGGGAAGGTTGCCTGTTTCAAATAGGTCTTCAAACTTCTCAAGTAAGTTTTGACTTTGTTATTTGCCCAGGGAATCAATGTTTTACTTACGCAATATCTCTAAATGTGAGCATAACACGGAAATTGTTCTCTACTTGTATTTCCCACACGCAGACAGCGTTGTTTGGATAACTTCCAGGGTAGAAGGGACTCTGTAGCATCCCCGAAGAATTTGAGATTGAGCCACCACAGAAATAAGGTGCTGCAGAAAGAAATGGAAGAGAATTTACTTACAGTATCCTCTACAAAATTGTACTCGAGCTGTAGGTGTCTCATCCGCAGCTGCTGAAAAACAGGTCTCCTGCTGACTGCAGGTGATATTCCGTGTGATCCAAATCCAAACAAATATTTGGTTTTGCTGTAGGTTTACTTTCCTGCTGGATTCGGGATTGCCTGTCGCATCCACGGCGTCAGGCCACCCTCTGCAGGCTGGGCTGGTAACACCTCGGTGCTTTGCGCTGGGGTCCCTCCTTTCTGCAGTCGAGGTCTGATTCTGGGAGGTGTCATGACGGTCAAAACGGAAGCACCTTCCTGAACAGACAGCATCCCCTCGGTTACTCTGCTGCTTCTTTTTATTTCCTTAAGGACTTTGGAGGATAAAGAAGTCGCAAGTCTTCTAGGAAACTCTGTAATCTTATGGTCTCAGACTGAAATAAAGCACTCCAGGATGCTGTGCCAAATCCTAAATATATCTAATTTCTCCTGTAAGCATAGCTGCAAAAAGCTTTCATGTTCCTGACAGTATGAATGGCATATAATTATTGTGTTAAACACACAGATAATACTCAAAGTTTCCTTATAGGAAGGTGAGCGCAAGCTCTGAACTTAATACCTACAAGATGTGATACATAAAGACAACAACCCCTCATTTTATATTCCTGCACAGGGACACCCCCCCAGCTCAGCATACCCCTCCCTGCCTCAGGATTTTGGGATTCTTGGGCTATTCCAAGCTTGGGAGCATCAGCTGTATTCAGACACTGCCCCTTCCTCTGATCAGGCTAGACAGGCTCTCAGGTACCTTCACTTTTGTACTATTTTCTACTGTGAATGGTCAAACTCTAAATCTAAAAACTGCTTTCTAAGGCAAAAATAGCAGGCTGAAGACCATAACAACTCTAGTAAGCAGAAGAGCCAAAAATTACACATTGCAATACTTGACCACCACCCTGCCGAAACTGATGTGTGTGGTTAAAAGTTAGAGATTTAGACAACACCTAAGCCTTGACCCAGCTGAAGAGCCCAGTGAGGAAATTGCTTGCCCCTATTTTTGCCAACAAACAAAAATTCAAAATAAGCATCACTGAAACGCAAGAGGATCTCACAGCCTGTCTAAGAATTATCATGCAAATTTAAAGTGATATTGCCATAGAAAAAAAAATCAAGTTAAAAAAACCCCAACAGGGAAACAGTCCGCAAATAAAAAAGGTGAGAAGAGCCACAGAAGACCCTTACCTGATGGAGGTGTCGGAGAGGCCAGAGCAGCTGTGTGGAGGAAGAAGAGCCGCAAGTGAGATGTGTTGCTCAGAAGAAAGGTGTTGGGGCACAGACATGGCCCCGCCTTAGGGCACAGGGGAACACCAAGGGGATTGCGTCGAGGAGGGGATGGGGACACAGGGGACCGGGCACAGAGGGCCATGGGCTTCACTGGAGAGCCGGTAGCCTCCGCTGCCCACGCACCTGCACAGATGACGCTGGCATCCTCCACGTGCCTGCAGTTGTGCACGCCCCAGCCGTTGTGCCTGCACATCTGGAGGGAGGGCTCATCCCCGCGGCACTGCACGTCGTCCAGGAAGATGCTCCCAGAGCCGAGGCCAAATGGCGCGTTGCCCGGGGCGGCCGTGGGCTGTCCGCAGCCCAGCTGCTGGCACACCACCTGGGCATCGCCCAGGGCCCACCAGTCG